ATTTATTCAAATTGTTCAAAATTTATATGCAAAGATCATATGTATATGTAACATGTCGTGAATGTTTTTAAAAAAGATGCATGAACTTTAATATCAAATATTTTTTTTAATATCTGATGTTTTATTATAAAATTTATTTAATTATTACTATAAAATATTGAATTAATAAAATATATAATCAAATTTGCTTCCTTTCATTTATTTTTGGTCATATCATATGATTAAGGAAAGTTCCAAAAATAGATTTTTTTTTTGAGCAGCTTTAGTAAAAATACCATAACTTTATTTAGAAGTAAATGGAAATCTAGAAATTTTGTATTTATTATCTCTAATATTTTTACAATAAGTCTGTAAAGTTCTAGGTCTTAAATTTTATTATTTTCTGAGATATAGCTATTTAAAATTTGGGGTAAAATAGACCCCACCTATATAACCGCGGGAGTTTTTTCCACCTATGTAGTGAAGGGTTAATTTGGAAATAAATTTTTTTTAATGAAAAACATGCCTCAAAAACCTCTTTGGAAGATCTAATTATAATCGGGTAATTAAAAAAATCGGCTAAATTTAAAAGCACGATAAAAAAAATCCGCTACGCAGGCCGTTTTAATTTATATACGCTTTCGTTGAGCTATAATTTTAGCAAAAAAAATACCCCAGAGGCTGAGATGATAATTTTCGGTTAAAATCTAGTTTTAGATCTTGTCTTATTTAGCCAGCAAAAAATAGAACGATTATGTTATTGATTGATGAATTAAAAGCAGAAGAATCACAATTAAAAACTTTTTAAAAAATGACTGTTTTTTGAAGTTATCGTCTGATTAAATATAATGAAGATTGTTTAAAAATTGTGAATGGTTGTATGATATATCTTTATTATCAAAGGTTTTTAATTGTCTTCATAAATTATTTATTTAACTTTGGGATATCAGCGCGATTGTTTCATAGTTCCTTCATTGTAGTTCTAATTTTATACCAATAGAAATCGAATATTAGGGTTTTATTCCTTTAATTTTTGCATTTGTCTAATCAATTAACCGGATGAGTAATCAGCTGCACAACTATCTACTGATATGATTGACGAAATCTATGTATAACACATGAGAACGATGACATACAAAAAAATAGTATAAAATTTAAGATATCAAAAATTGTTTAAAATATGATAATAAAACATCAAATCACGAGTATAACATATAACGGTGTTCTTGTAAAAAGGATAACGCATTACCTTAATTCGTAACTTGTTTTAACCGCCTTAACCCATTTTTTTTGAATAAGATAAAAAAAGCAATACTTTTAATGCAAATTACAAGTAAATTGTAACGGCAAAATTTTTTTTAGCGTATATTAACATAGATTAGTCATTTATAAGTAATTTATCGAATTTTATTATGTTGTTAATATTCCTTAATTCATTTATATGATATTTTAGTAGTACTTCTTAAGGAGTTTATTTTGGAAATAATTTTGTCGTGATTAAAAAAATATATAAAGGTTTTTCAGAAAAAAATTTACTTTACCCCCTTCCCTTCCTTTAGTGAAAATATCTGGGTATAAATCCCGTCAATATGAATCAAATTTTTTTTTTTTTTTTTCTCTTTTAGCTTTCACCTTTTCTGGTGGTAAGCTCCTTCAACATCTCTCTCCACTTTATGTTATTCATACAATCTCTTTTATCTATTTTATACTTCTTTATATTGGCTCTAACTTTATGGCCCCATTGAAGTTTTGGCCTTCCTCTTTTACGTTTGCCCATCACTTCCAAACTTTCAACTTTATTTCCTATGTAGTTCATAGGCCTTCTCATTGTGTGCCCATACCACCTAAGTCTGTTTACCATTAACTTAGTCTTAATGGGCACTACCTTTAAACTATTTAGTATTCTTGTACTGCGCACCTTATCCTTTCTTGTTACCCCAGCAATCATCCTCAGCATTCTCATCTCCATAGTTTGTAGACTTCTCTCGTCTGATTCTTTGGTTGGCCATGTTTCCGAACTATATAGAATAGTTGGTTGTACTATGGAACTGTAAATTTTTCCCTTTAATTTGTGTGGGATTCTTTTGTCAAATAGCACTCCAGATAAAGATCTCCACTTTAACCACCCTTGATTAATCTTACTCTTTATCTCTTTTTCTATTGTGCCGTTTGTTTGAGCCCAAATATTTGCAGCTTTCAATTGCGGATATCTGCCATTCATTTATATTAATACTCTCTGTTTCATCTCCTCCTATCACCATATACTCCGTCTTTTCTCTATTTACTTTTAATCCGTGCGTTTCTAGGATATTTATCCAACTCACTAACCTTTCTTTCATTTCATCCATTCGGCAAGTATCACAATATCATCTGCAAATATCATATTCCACGGGACTGTTTGAGGTATAGACTGTGCTAATACATCTATTACTGTAATGAAGAGAAGTGGGCTGAGAGCCGACCCTTGATGAACTCCTTCGGCTATTGTGAAGCCTGCTGAAGTACCTGTTGTGCTACGGACCATTGTTGTATGTCCCATATACATATCCTGTATTATTCTTATATATTTTTCGGGAACTTTTTTGTGGCGTAGCGCCCACCAGATAAGTTTTCTTGGGATTCTATCGAAGGCCTTTTCTAGATCGAGAAAGACCATGTGTAGCTTTTTGTTCTTTTCCCTGTATTTTTCACTCATTTGCCTAATTGCATGGATAGCATCGGTTGTTGATCTTCCAGGCATAAAGCCAAACTGTGTCTCTCCTATTTCGATTATATCTCTTAATCTTTTTTCTATTATTTTTTCGTATAGTTTTAGACAGTGTGACATTAGTTTTATGCCCCTGTAATTTTGACAATTGTGTGGATTCCCTTTATTTTTGAAGATAGGAACTAGATAGCTCTGCCTCCATTTTTGGGGAACCTCTTCATTTCCAAGTATTTTATTGTACAGATTTGTGAGGAGATGTATTCCATCATCTCCTAGTGCTTTAAGGCTTTCTATTGGAATATCGTCTGGACCCCTAGCTTTGTTGTTTTTCGTATGCTTGAGGCATGTGATTATTTCTTGTTCTGTTATAGGTTGTATAAGGTTTTGACAAGGGGAGTGTTCGTCGAGATGCAATATGTGGGAATTAAAGTTGAGAAGCTCCTGAAAATATTCTTTCCATCTTTCCATCTATTCATTATTTCTTTTTCCTTTATTATCAATTTCCCATCTTTATTTTTATTACTTTCGGAGCTCCGTTTATATCCCTAGAGTTCTTTTCTCGCTGTTTGGCTAATCTGTATATTTTATTTTGCCCTTCTTTGGTATGTAGATCTTCGTACATGTCATCATCGTATGCCATAGATTTGGCCCTAGCCACCGCCTTTGTAGCTAATCTCTTGGATTTTTTGTATCTTGACTTGTCATCTGCATTTTTGGATTTGTACCATATTTTATAAAGGGCTTTTTTCTCCTGTATAGTGGTTTGTACCTCTTGATTCCACCACCATAGTTCTTTGTGTGATTTGTTGCCTCCTCTTGTCAAGCCTAGCGTCGATTTTGCAGTGTCTATTAATCTGGATGAAAGGTCTATCCAGATTTTTTCACTGACTTGTGAGCAATTTATTGTTTCAATGTTTGCATTGATTGCAAAGGCATCTGTCATTGTTTTTAATTTGCCCCATTTGATGCATGGTTCCAGTTTTATCTTATTTTGAGTGGATTTATTTGAGATTTGTAAATCCATGATTAGTAGCTTGTGTTGCGCGGCGATATCTTCTCTTGGGATGACTTTGCAGTCTATTACATCTTTTAATCTTCTGCGAGAGATTAGCATGTAATCTATCTGTGTTTTCCTAGTACCACTTTCATATGTTATTAAATGACTGTCTTTTTTCCTATAGTAGGTGTTGGTTAAGGGCAAGGTCGAAGGCTTGCGCAAATTTCAGTACGTGCTCTCCTTCATCATTTCTTTCTCCGTATCCAAAACCACCATGATGCCTTTTGTAGCTATCTCTTGCTTTCCCCACATGCGCATTTAAGTCACCACCAATTATGATTAGGTCATCCTTAGGGATTTCCATTACAGCTTCATCAAGGATAGCTCTAAAATCATCTTTCTCCTCTTCCTTGCAACCCGTTTGAGGAGCACATACTGAAAGGATGTGTAGTATTGACGTCTCTTGTATGCACGCTATATCAACTTTTCTCTTGTTCAAGATTGATGCCAATTCTCTCGTCTTACCTTTAAGCGTCCCAATATTCAAACTTGCCAGTCTTGTCTTCTTTGCTTTGACCTTTACTTTATTTTTCACAAGATGGAGGTCTACACCCTGCGCGTCGCATGGAAAGAACGCCCTAGCTTTCATATTCATATTTCCATTTATTTCTATCATTTTGTTTATTGGACAGGTATCCCTAGCACCCGGCTGTCCAAGCCTGTCGGTGACCGGGGTGTCATCTCTAAGCTCCGAAATTCATCATACCATATGTCTTTACACATCAGTCATCGAAGAAAAACTTTGAAAGTTTTTGTTCCTTACCAGGATTGAACCTGCGTCTTTGTTCATACTCGTGTTTCCAATCATACATCTTACCCATTAGGCCACCCCGGCGATCAATATGAATCAAATAAAGGAGTTTTAATTTATTGGAAAAAAATAAAAACGGGCATTCTTTTAAATATATATTTTTTGACATTATGGATATATTATTTAAAGCAAAAAAAAAATTTGACTGTATTTTTTATTTTAAGATCATTGCTAATTTTATCTGAATTTTTTTTTTTTTAAAAATCCAGCAATTGAAAAAGAATGCGGAACTAATAAAATCGGTGCACAAGGAAAATAATAATAAAAAGTTATGCCTAGGTACAACTACCTTTTTGCGTTCTTCGGCAAAATCAAAATTTATTTCACCATTTAATAGTAATAATAGCGATAAAAATATTAACGATCGCCACGATAATAAAAGTCCTAATAATAAAGAAAAAAATGATTCGAATAATAATAATAATGTCGACCCAAAATTAATCGAAATGATAGAAAACGAAATAATCGACAAAAATTTGAAGGTTACTTGGGATGATATAGCCGGCTTGGATTTTGTCAAATCAGTAATAAAGGTTGTTTTTTTCAAAAAAACTTTTTTTTATTTTAGTATATTTTTTTTATAGGAAATAATTATTTGGCCATTATTGAGACCCGATATCTTTACTGGTCTAAGAAAACCGGCTAAAGGTATTTTATTGTTTGGTCCTCCTGGAACGGGAAAAACCTTGATCGGTAAAATCAATAATCATTTTTAAAGAAAAACTAACTAAATATAAACCATTTTATTAATAGCGAAATGCATCGCTAGTTTCTGTAATGATCTCGCCGTAAATTTATCTCAAAATGATGCTAGCCCCCCTTCAAATAACAAGGTAAAAAACAACGGGAAAATGACATTTTTTAACATAAGTTCCTCGGTTTTATTATCCAAATGGGTAGGCGAAAGCGAGAAATTGGTTAGGGCACTCTTCGAAACTGCCACCATACACGCACCTTCTTTGATATTTATTGACGAGGTTGACTCGATTTTATGTTCAAGAAACGCGTCCAATTCGTCTTCCTCTGACACGAGCGACAATGAATCGTCCAATCGACTAAAAACGGAATTTTTGATACGCTTAGACGGCTTGTATAACGATAATATCAACAATAACATCATATTCATCGGTGCCACAAATAGGTTTTTTTTATATTTAAGACTAATGATGTAAAGCTGTATCCTAAATCTCGTTTTAAAATTCTCAAAAATAAAAAAATTTTTACGTTCTTAAATTTTTACTCAATTCGTGTGTGTTATATTTTTTGAAATTTTTAAAATTTTAAGAATTATGTTTAGGGACGTGTTTTTATTTATTTTAATTAAAAATTGCTTATTTCTTTCTTTTTTGTTCATTTAAAGCTTCGTTTATTAATTATATTTTTGATATTTATGATACAACCTAAAGAGAATCCATCTTTCAATCTAACTTTTGTAAAAAGGAAATAACTAACTATATGTGACTTACTAAAAAAAATTAAAAAATTGTTTATTTTTTATAGACCTCAAAAGCTTGACGAGGCCGTGAGAAGGCGTTTTGTTAAAAGGCTTTATATTCCACTGCCGGACCAAGAAGCTCGATTGCAAATCATACAGAATCTCATGCGTGATCAAAGTCATGTTATCGATGAAACCAGTTTGCTAGAATTAAGTGGTCAAAAAACTGAAGGTTTTTTTTAAAAAAACACACAATGTTTTTCCTATTTAATCAATTTAGCAGTCATAATAATCTTTGGCATAGGATATTCATTTAAAAAAAATGTTTGGTTAGATCAATTTGGAAGGGGTTCCTTTGATCGTAACATTGTGATCCTATTTTCGTCGATTTCCGTCAAAATGGACGATACGTTATTAATATGAATTTTTATACAGGTAATTATTGAATTTATGCATTTATTTAACATATCGGATAATTTCCTACTAATTTTTTTTATCAATATCTTAAGATATAATATTAATTTACAGCTATTAAAGGGACCAGTCAGAAAAATGGACGAATTTATGATCAATTTTACGATCATAGGAAAATCAATAATTTTACAACCTTCACAAAAAAAAGAAGAATGTTATAAACCCAATGACATTAATACTAATCTAAACTGACATGACGAAATATAAATATACATTGAAGTCAGTTGTAATCAAGGTCAATAACTTAGTAATAAATAGAAAAAGTTATTGTTGAATATTGAATGCATAAGATACCCTTTCGGTTGCGGTAGTGCAAATATAAAACCACCTTTTAACCTTTATATCTTCTAAAGGAGTTGATCATATAAAATGAAACCACCACGAATATATATTAAAAGATATTCTTTTTTATATGTTTGTGGAGGAGTTATTTTTTAATTTTTTTTTTCGCGCCTTTATTTCAAAATACGTTTTTTACGGTGATTTTTCTTAAAATTCCAATTTTAATTATAAGTAAGTATATTTATCAAATATTTTTAAATATATATATTCCTCACTATTTTATCTATCTTTCTAATATTTATTTTTGCTCAAATAAATAATATTTATATATTATTTTGATCTTTTTAATGTGGTATATTAAACTAACCACTGCCACTTAACAACAATATTTTTAATATTTATTTTTTTAAATAATTGATAAATTTTGCCAATTCATTTCGCAATAATTTTAGCTTGTTATATATATGAATGATTATCTGGACATTCCATCTGAAGGTTCTTCGTTAGACAACTCATCCACTGATTCCGAAGATGATTATGAATCGGATACACGTTAACAAATTGATAGTGATGATTATGAATCGGATACACCTTACGGAACACTAAACAAAAATAGGAGATACTTGCCCATAAAGAATATGGAAACAAAATTAAAAAGAGGTGAGTTTGACTGGAGAAGTGACAAAAATAATATAAGTATAATTAAATGGCGAGATAATCGTGACGTATTTATAATGTCCAATTATATTGATCCGAGATCAGTGGATACTGTGAAGAGAAAAAATAAAAAAGGGGAAGTATTTGACGTAAAATGTCCAATAATGATAAAGATGTATAATAAATATATGGGGTCTGTTGACCATTTCGACCATTTAATTATATGAAATTTCGCGAAAGTGGCGAAAATGGTGGCTACCAATATTCTTTTGGCTGATAGATGCGGCGATTATCAATTCATTCATAATATACAATATTCTTACAGATAATAAACTCTCATCGAAAGAATTCCGAAGACAAATAATTGCTAGCGAATTGGCATACTGTAAAAATGTTAATAGGGATGATAATATTCATAATGATAATAATTATATATCAATGCAAAGAAAAAATAATAAACCTTATATCCTTCCAGAAATTAGACTAAAAAACTCAGCTCATCAACCTCAGGCAGGAACCTCACGAAGGTGTACCTTCTGTAGTACAAAGTTAAATCCCAGAAGAACAAGGTGGTCGTGCAAATCATGCAACGTACCACTATGTCTAAATAAAAATAGAAACTGTTTCGAAAGTTTCCATAAGGTGTCAATGATATGAATTTAAAACCACCAGGGAGAGCCGCCATTTTGAATTTAAAAAACTTTTTTTGTGTGTTTTATATTATATTATACTAGAATCAATAAAAAAATTACTAAATATCGTGTTGCATCATATTAATTTTATGAGGGAACCTAAAGGGTTAAATCGAGAATAAAATAAATATCGCACGGGGCTGAAAAAAAACTATTTTGCAGGTCTCCAAGATACGAGTTTTAGGCAAAATATGATTGAATAGAAAGAAATGTATACGTCATAGTAAGCGTAAACGCCCTTTATCGCTTTATGGAATATCAGGGTTATGCTTGTTTTATCCCATCCCATCTGATTGAGTTAAGAAATTTGGGGGTAGCCTATGAAATGAGCCCATTCATAATTGTTAGGCAGATTGCAGTTACCTGTGCGCGTAAGAGGCAAAGCCACTTAAAGGCCTGCGGGAAGTAAGAAGGTGGGAAGAACTAAATATGTGAAAAATAAAATTATAGTAAATGACCAAATCATAGTTGACATTTTTTTTGATAAATAGAATTGGAGTTAGATATAGATAAAAAAATGAAGGTTAATGCTAGATAAGTGAAATGGAGAGATTTTGATCTAGCTATAAAAAAGTTGGCTATATAGGTTGAGTGATATTCGCGTTATGGTTCCACTTGATTTTAAGATCTGTGGTATAAGGAAAGAGCATAGTTTTTTTTACGATGAAAATAAAGATATTAAGATAAATCTTTGACCATTCCAGACACATAAGAGTGAGAAAAAACAAATACATCTTTAGATATATCCTTCCAAACAGAACATTTTGAATGCAGGTGATTTTTCGTTTTTTAAAATTATTTTATAACGATTAAATGGCGTCTTGAAGTGAAGAAGTTTTTTAAAAAAAAATAAAAATAAAATGCAATAATTTTAAATCAGGTGAAACATATTTACTCAAATATATGACACCCCTGTTAAATACTTGATCACTATGGCATTTATGATCATTGTTAAGCTAGCAATGAAAATATTGTATCACCTATTTGACCATTTAAATTTTTTAAAAATACATTCTGAATATGTGATTTCGGTTTACAATATTTGATTATTTTAAATTAATATTTTTTAGGATATTACAATTAAAATTATAATAAGCTTTCCTTTAGTTATTATACCTTTGTTTATTTTTAGAGTAAAAAATTTAAAAGATAGTTTTAAAAATAGAACTAATATTTTATAACCGGCATATGAAGTAATCTTAATATCAATAAAATAATGAATCAATTATTAAATAAATATCACAAAATAATTATTGGGATTTTTATTAAAATGGCTTTTATAAAAAATGCTTTCAGGATAAGCACCATAATCATTTATACAAATAAAATTTAGCAATTAATTAAAACTTATGCCAAATATAATAAAATTAAGTAAAATAAAATGTTTTTATATGAAAACAAATAATGATTATTTTATATACAAACAAAAAGTCATTGATTTTAGTCATACCAAATCATATTAGGTTGAGGTGCACTTTGTCTAAAGCCGTATCGCCAAAAATAAGGGCAAATCCGTCATTTTTTGCCTAAAATAACCGCCAATGGGCTATTTCAACTAGTAATCTACATCTGGCCTTATTATTTAATCTCAGCACCACCCGAACCCGAAATTTTTTAATTAGGCCCGACCCCGGTGAGGGTCGGGCTTTTGCAGATATTTAATTTCAACTATGGCCGTTTCACCTAAAATAGAAGCAACAAAAGCGCAAATTTAGTAGAAAAAGAATGATTTTTTAAAAATAAATGAATAAATATAAACTAATTTAAGAATATTAATACAAGAAAAGCTAATCACATTTTTCATCACGGCAAACTTATAAAAAATGTCGCAACGATTGTCTGATATAATTTTTTTTAAACGCACAAGGTAAATAAAATAAATAAGCTACTTATAAAGAACATAAACAATTTTTTAAACCAGATCTGGGTTTGTCACCTAGTGTCCAGCTCGATTTCTCTTTGCAAAATAGCCTGACCTCCAACCAGACCTTTCCATGCCGGGCTCCATAAATATTAAATTATATAAAAAACTCAAAGATGAATTAAATTTAATTTGTAAAAAATATGAATAGGTTATTCTGGTGCAGATATGGCTGAATTATGCAGGGAAGCTTCGCTTGGACCAATCAGATGCTTATCATCCGAGAATATACAGACCATATCGCTCGAAGAAGTAAATACTTTATCTTTATTTTCTCAATATATGGTTAATTTAGTAGTGGCTTTTTTAGGTCAAAATGATTAAGGCCTCTTTTATAAAAATCGTGAAATAACGCGATGTTGCTCATGCGATACATAATTTAGGAAAATACATGGTACATTAGCCATGCCATCGTTTAGCGATGAATTATATGGCGGTTAATTTGAGCTTACTATAAGGTCTAACGCTCTATAGTAATTACGATTTGTTCAAGCATGCGGTATTTAACGCTGCACAAGTTTCAAAATCAAGCCAATTAATAGTTATGATTTATAAATATATGAAATTTGAAAAACATGTTACGAATTTTAAAAATTATCACTATGAAGAGTCAACTGTGATTTCAATAGCCTTAAATACCGCACCGCTTGAACAAATCGCGTTTACTATAAATGAGGCTCACCTTTTCCTTTCAGTGACAAATCGTCAAGTTTACACTCATGGCAATTTTAATTTTTTAAAGTGTCTGATTTATTATTTCAGGATAAATTTAAAAAAAATTTAAAACTTTTTAGGTAGATATATTTTTAAAAATCGAAAATTTCATCTATGTTCTTTTTCTTTTTGAATTCCTCATCATTCAATACTACTTCTGATTTAGTTTCTAGCTTGATTACACTATGATTGTCCTAAATATATTTTAAAAAACCTTAAATTTTTTATAACCTTATAAAATTATGAAACATGCCCAAATTCCAGGGATCCAAACCGAAACGAATATCGGGTTGGTTCTGGTTTGGATAAAAATAACGGTTCAAGGTTCAGGTTCGGTTGGTAAAAAATTAAAATATCGGTTTGGTTCGAACCTCTAAAAACCGGTTTGAACACTTTTGTATTCAAACCTACATTCGAATTATGTATAGGGAAAATATTTATTATTTTATCATTAATTTAAAAAACACATGTATAAAACCTTCATTTTTATTAATTGCCCATTATAAAATAATATTTAATTTAATTTATAAATATAAAAATCAATGATTAATTTTAATATGAACAATATTTTATTTTTTTTACTTAAATTTTTTTATTAAGCCTCGCAATTAATATATTTTCAAAATTTGTTTCACTCAAATTACATCTATAAGGAGATAGTAAATTTAATTGTTGAAAAACATCTTTCCACACTAACTTGGGTAGCCGGCACTGCCAATATGATATGATATCAGATTTGATGTGTCATTTATAATAATATTTTGGATTTAATTTTTCTTTAAGCATTATAATTTATAAGCTTAAAATATTTAAAAAATGTTGTAAAATGACAATATACTAAAAAGTATAAAAATTATGACCGACACTTATCAATCAAATGTGATGGATGATAATCTTTAAAATAATTCGAATATAATTGATTTTTTTAAAATAAACTAATAATAACTTACATATTATTTTATAAGCATAAAATCATGAAGCTCGAACCGGTTCAGAGGCATTTTAGCGGTTCGGTTCAGGTTCGGCTAGAATTTTTTTTAGTGGTTTAAGTTCGGTTAAGGTTCGATAAAAAATACAGGTTTTTAGCGGTTTAACGGGTTCAGGTTCGGATCTCTGCCAAATTCTTCCATTCATTTTTTTAAAAATTTTGTATATTTAAAAAAGATTATAATTCCTACCAACTTATTTTATACTTCCCATTTTGATTAATATTTAAGCTAAAATTTAATTTTAATAGTTTCTCTAACTTAAAAAATTAATTAACTTTCGTAAATTCGAAAAAATGATTCAGGCCACTTTTATTTTTACATTCATAATAGCATATTTTTCTTTAACGTTTTAATTATATTTATTATTTGTTGGAAAATGAGCTTAAAATAGTAAAGAAAATCCATTTAATTAATAATATCAAACTGTTAAAAATTTCCAAAACGCGTTACTCATTGCGACAATCTTAAATAATAATATTTATAAATTGTCTACAAAACTTTTAATACATATACTGCTGTCCTATTTCATTGTATAAATTTATAACCCTATAGTCGAAGGGTCGCGCAATGCTCCTCCCAATTTATCGTTCCCTTTTTCAGAAAATAGAGGGCATAACATATTTCTTTTTTATTATTTATCATGAAATAAACATAAAATTTGTAATAATGTAATTATACTTGTAATTTTAAAAACAGACCCTTCCCTATTTTAATTTTCCAATAGAAATAGGGAAATGATATATCTGTTTTGACTAGCCGGCTTGAACAACGATGGAAAAAATAATTACAAATTATGTTCGCCGAGTTTTCTGAAGATTTTTACAAAATTTTTTTGGCGATGGTGATAGCCTCATGACTGGGAAGAAATCTTTAATAGCATCTGAATTTGGCATTTATTTCAAGATTGGAAGTATACTTGATGTTCGATGGGTTCTTGCTATCATACTTGGAATAATTATGATGCCCCCCCCCTATATGCATTTTAATTTAACTGAATCTAACAACATTTTCAAATATAATAGTCCACCCTACTAAAGAGATATAAATTCTTATCAGATCCCGCCTTGGTGTTCTATTTTAATTATGCAACCTATCTTTAAGGTTTCAGGCAAGATTAACGAAGGCTGAAAAATCAATAAAACGAACGATTCTTGTTTCACAATAGCTTAAGTATATGCTCGGTGGATTACAAATCTTTTTTATAATTTCTAAATAAATATTTACTTAATATTTCCAAAGAACATATGAAAATTAGTAGACACAAAGGAAATAAATTTTAGTTTAGTAATATTTAAAAACAGTAGACTCTCTGGTGTCAATGTAAATAAATTCATTAATAGAAAATATGCAAAATAGATGTTAATTCCGATGATTCTAGTAATTAAAATTATTATCGAATTACCATTTTATTTCTTCATATCTGATATGAAATATTTCGAAAAGATAACCAGCCACCAGATTCTCACATTCGTTCGTGGGAAGAGCAAATTAAAGACTTTGCTTCAGACTATGGCTGGATGCGGATCCCGCAATAAATCGGATAGATTATTAAAAAATATTTGTTGACGAATATTCTTAGTCATCTTTTTTATTTAATCATTCACTATTTTATTTATATTATATTTTTTTAAACAAAAACGACTTTTAGTCACAATTTTTGATTTATTTCGATTGTGTATATTATATTTTAATTATGGAACCGTCATTTTTTCATGCAATATATATGTATTTCAAGATATTTTATATCAAATGCTTCGAGAAAAAATAATTTATCTTGATTTTTTTGCCCATTTTAGCGTTCACCTATCTATTTTTTTAAAAATAGCGTTTCACAAATTTTAAGACTATACTAGTGTTATTAAACGGCCCGATTAAGATTTTAGCCAGTTATATAAGCCTGGAGATTTTGTTCATATATGGTAGAAAGGCTTTGACCTCTATTTGTCAAATCTCGAAGCTATTATTTTGGTTACAGCACTATTATAACGTAAATTACAATAAATTTTTTTTTTAGTAGGCTAGTATTGTTAAAAAACCCGTATCGGGTCGATTTTTTAAAACGGTATTAAGATTATAGGGCCATTCCACGTCAAATCGATCACGATTCGACCGACCCCTTTTAAAATTGTTAAAAATTTCTGGAATTATTTAGAAGGGTAAATAAATGAGAAAGCCGTTTATTTTAGCTCTCTAGCACACATGGTTCTCGAGATATAGGGGCTCATAGGTACAAAAAAGAGCCACTTTGGAATCTGTAAAATTTTTAAAAAGCTTATATCTCAAGAACTATTTATAGTAAAAAGATATATAATATATCATATTGTAGGTAAAAATAATCTCTAAAAGGCTATCAAAAAATAATAAAAATTGGCGCCAATTTGAATCTTTAACTTCCGGTTTATCTATAATGCTTTACCTGTATTTTTAAGCAAAAAAGGGAGTTTGTTTTCGAAATTTTTTTATTGCTTTTTATTTAGACACCTTTTATAAATATATATACGATGTCAAAACTTTGGCGACGCTATCGACTCCAAAAATTTAAAAAAATAATAGATGGCGCTTTATGAAATTACGGATTTTGGTTAAAATTTTGCTGCAAACTTATCAATAAACGGATATTTTCACTTTTTATACTAAAAATATTTTAAATTTCTATTAAATATACTAAATAAATTGAGGGGCAGTGTGGGTAAATGCCCATTAGACACTTAATAATGTAATATATTTCCAATAATAAAATCTTTTGTATAATTTTTTTATTATTCATTCATATTAATAATATAGAAATATAGAAATAGAGATAGACAATCATATTCATTCCATAATTTAAAATTTGTGAAATGTTATATTTAATATTTGCGATTCTGTTGAATTAGAATAAAATTTTGTTTCAATTTTATCCTGAGAAATTGGATAAAAAGCATGAAATTTTTGCGTCCCTGGTATAGTACGGGCTTTGTCGAATCTCTCTTTTAAAATTATTTGTTCTTTCTCATATTCATCTTCCATAATATAGGAGAACTCTATTCCTTAATAAAAAAATTATAATATATATATTAATAAATTATAAATCATATACCTTTTATATTTTCCTTACAATAGGCAAAAAACTCTTTAGGAGAAGTTATTTGTTCTGAAGTAGGTCTTTGTAAACTTGCTCTAGCCACTAAACGCTTGACGGTACCTCCGACCCCGTCACAAGCTGATTTGCCATGAGATGTAGCCCAGAAATGCCACTCAGCTTTTATCTCGAAATCATATTCATGGTGGCAAAGATTGATTAAATTTTTCCGATTTTTATATTGAGCTGCTGCTCCATCTGAAAAATAGAAGAATTTTTTTGGCAGGCATTGAAATTTCTTTGTTAAGTATTGAACTAAATATTTTTGGAATATATGAACCGCAATTGTATTATGAACGAGAGATTCAGATATTATTACGAAACTTAAATGATTTAAATTATTAAGTGACTTGTAATAAATGACAAAAGGATGAATGGTAACTTGAGATTTATTCCAGTGAAACCCCTGTACTTCATCTTGAACCACAAAGGCATAATTTTCAGCAAAATCTGCCTGCACGATATATTCTCCTTCCTTTAAATTAATTTTAAGAGAATTCATGAATATTGTTTGCTGCTTTGTTATGAATGAGTGTAATAGTAAAATATTTAGCTTTTCGAAAAGCGTTTCTAAAAAATTAAAGGTTGATGAAGTGATAGTTAAAAGATCTGTACGATCTGTTGTTACCCATTGCTTGTAGGTAATATATTCGATATCAATTGAATATAATATTTCACTTATCATGGCCTTTAAATTAGAAGATCCAGGGCATTGAGCACAATCACCAAAAAAACATTTTGGTAATGCTGGATTACAAATTATTTTTGGTAATATATCCTTATATGTAATCTTAATTAAATCTTCATTTAAAGTAATTTTGGGCAAACTCAACAGCATTAATTTTGTGTTTTGATGAATGGAGCAAACACATATTGAATGGGTACCACTACTGCCAACAAATACACAATTCTCGGGACGAAGATCACAAAATTTAGAGAATCCAATTTTAATATTTGAATGAATATCTTTAAATTTAAGATATAGCTCTCGTAAATTAATTAAAATTAATCTTTTTTGGACTTGAATCTTTTCACTGTTCTTTATTATGGTTACAAAATCCCTTTTCCCAGGCATCGATCTACTATATTGATCATTGTTATAAAAAGATTTGACAATATCAACGGTGGCGGCATCTATTGTTTTGCCGGGTTTAGGATTAGGTGTTGAAAAAAACCCCTTTTCTTTTATTAAATTTTTAGATTTTATCGCCATATGATATGAAATATTGAATTCTTCTATAATTCTTCTTACTGTCCAATTTGATGGTAATAATGTTAATAATCTATATTTGTTTGTTATCGAAAGCTGTGGGAAATTGATTTTTAAGGTATCGAGAATTTCATTGAATTTTTCATCATTTGATGAAGATAATGGTATAATTTTAGTCGCTAAAACTTTTTTCACGCTAGATATTTTTTTCTTTGGATATTTCTTTTCACGTAAGCGTTTTATTTTAATGGGAGATTCCCCAATTGATTGTAGGGATATATTAATGTTTTCAATTGCCTCTTGATTAACTATATGAGGAGGAGAATCAATATCATTGTCATTATAAGGAAGCTTTGCTAATTTTTGTCGGCATGAAGAGCATATTAGCATATTTAAATTGATTGGTAAATTTTTTTTGGTCATCCAAGGTTGAATCTTTCTTAGATTTTTGCGATAATATGCATGTTTTTGTAAATTAAATGGGTTACAACATCTTGATATTTTAATATTTGGTATATCCATCTTTTATATAGAATAAAATTTTATTTAATTTGAACCTAGAATATGGCTTGTTTAAAATTAATCTGATCGGAAAAAAAATTATATTAAACAGAAAGAGAGATTGTTTTAAACTTTTAATTTTTTAAAATATTATTATCGTAAAATATAATCGATAATATGTCTAATATAAATTCTTTTTTAATGCAGCTGTTATACATTATCGTGCCAAAAAGTCATTCGCTGTTATAGTAGTAAAGCAGAGATCTAAAATATGTAAAAAAATTTAAGGATGGTGGGGGGGGGAGCAGAACTGGAAAATTTTATCGCATTTCTTATAAACTTATAAATATTTTCATTTTTAGAAATAATATTTTTTTAAACATTAGCGCCATCTATTTTTTTTTACGATTTTTGATAAAAATGTATATTTTGGAAGAGTCGATAGCGTCGCCAAGGTTTTGACATCATACATATATTTATAAAAGGTGTCTAAATAAAAAGCAATAAAAAAATTTCGAAAACAAACTCCCTTTTTTGCTTAAAAATACAGGTAAAGCATTATAGGTAAACCGAAAGTTAAAGACTCAAATTGGCTTCAATTTTTATTTTGATAGTCCTTTAGAGATTTTATTTACCTACAATATGATATATTATATTTTACTATAAATAGTTCTTGAGATATAAGCATTTTAAAAATTTTACAGATTCCAAATTGGCTCTTTTTTGTACCTATAAGCCCCTATATCTCAAGAACCAGGTGTGCTAGCTAGCTAAAATAAACGGCTTTCTCTTTTATTTCCCCTTCTAAATAATTCCAGAAATTTTTAACAATTTTAAAAGGGGTCGGTCGAAAATGGGCCTTTTTTGATCGATTTGACATGGAATGGCCCTATAACCAAACTAATGTGTAAGCCTGGTTATTTTGCTCATAGATGGCAGAAAGGTTTGGGCTTCTATTTGTCAAATCTTGAGACTTACACGATATTTATTTGGCTAAAATTTTAAACGGGTCGTTTTTAAAAATCGATACAAATAGTTTTTTTAGCAACACTATAAAAGGCCTTTCTTTTTCTTTATAAAAGTAATTTAATTCCTGCTTCCCTATTGTTTATATTTTTTAACGCAAATTGTACTGAAATCGATATAACATTAAAACTTATTATAAAACAAAATTACTATAAGGCTTCAAAATTAGCCAATCAAAAATTTGTCCTGGTTTGGATAGGCAAAAAATTGTTACAACCTAATTCAAAACATAAGCTCATTTCATTTGCCGATGCTGACTACCTTAAAATATTTTTGTTTGATAAATTATTTTTAATGTTTATCAATTTTCCAAGATGGTAATGCATTCAAAATTTACTGCCTATCTTGTGGAGATATCCACATTTATAATCTTATTTTAATACCGGCACAGCTCTAAAAATAATAAAGTTGCCTTTCTAAAAGATTAATTTTTTTAGAATGTTACCCTTACTTACATGGATGCTTGGACACTACTTTTTTTTACATTTGTTTGAAGGAGATTATAATCTTTTTCATTTTTTTCTTTCTCCTTAACCACATTTATTGCCAATCAAATTCTTTTCTTTTTAAAAAAATAACTAAATTAGGTTGGTGCCATAATGTTGAAACATTTTGATATGGCTTTAAACAGAGTTAAACCTAGTGTATCAAGTGAGGATATTAATATATACATTGAATGGAATCGCACTTTTGGTTGCCAATAGCTAAGCATGTTATATTATTCTTCTTTTTTTTTAAAAAATGTAATATTTTATACATAAATAAGAATATAATATATATATAAATTAATTGTGCGCTTTGTGATATTACAATTTTAAAAATGATTATATATAAAAAATATATATATATAAACAAAGAAAAAGATAATATATGGTAAATTATAAAAATTGACATAAAAAAAGATAGTATGTTTTAAACAAAAAAATAAGAGATACCTATGCAAGGATGATTAGGATAACTTTTGGATTAGTTTTATATTTAATTTATAGATATCTCAATGAAATTAGTTAATTTCCTCACCAATTTGTGAATATGTTATTTAATGAAAATTGGTTACTCATTTTGATAATATATTTTAACACGTTTGACAATATTATTTTCAAAATTTGTAACTAATTATAATTTTGTTGAGATAAAACAAGGTATAAGAAATTGCTCTTTTATTATTTAATAAATTTAATTTAATATAAAAATATTAGAAAAAAATTCAGAGATTTTATTTTTATTTTACTTTTTTCTATATATTATATAAATTAATATTTTTATATAATCAATATATTTATATTAAATAAACTATCACTAGCTAAGGAAAATCACTAAAAAAAATAAATAATGTATTTATATTCCTATAAAATTTGCATATCAATAAAAATAAATTATATAATAAAACATATCAAAAAAATAATAAAAAATTATAAACAATATCACTAAATAAGAATTATATGCTTTAAATATGTTAATATTGCCATATTTTTTAACAATGCATGTGGAGTTACAAAAATATAATAAAATCTGCTGGATAAAAATATTTATAATCAATTATATATATTAAGAATCTTGTTTGAGCATAGTTTTAACTGAAGAAATTAAATTATTATTTTTATTAAATATACGATTGTTTAAATAATTCACACCATAACCTAAAATGAAAATTAAAGCAAAAGTTAAGGGCACTATAGCAAAAACATAAGGTACTAAGGTATTTTGATATTGTTTAATCCAATTAGAGTAATATATCAAATATACAGTAATACAATGAAAACTAAAAATGGATAAGACTGTAAGAGCATGAAAAGTTTTTAACAATGAATAAAATTTATTGATATTTTTAGATTTGGTTATAAAATGAGCAATGGAGAAATAGTATTTAGTTATCAAACCACCTGTAAAATTGAGCATTGTAAGTACAAGGGTTAAAAGACCACACAATCCATGCCAAGTAACAAAATGTGGTTTATTATTTTGGTTTTTATTAATGTAAATGGCACTAAAGCCAATGCAGGCACATGTCAATGCAGCCACTTGCCAAAGAGCATGTATGTTTATCCTAATACTACGCTTAGAGAGCCATGAAATATTGTTATATGGTAGTATAGTACCAGGAGCTAATACATTTGAGAGTATATTCAAATTGTCTTCTGTAGACAGTTTAGGTGGCTTTGCAAACACTCCTACAGCTTCCAGCATAAAACCCAGATACTGTATAAAGTAAAAATTAATTAATACATATGATAATATTTAAATGTTTATTTATATTATATAAAATAATAGTTAAACTAGATAAAAATATACAAATTTTTTTAAAATAAATACTTTATTTACCCCCAAGACCATCATAAATGGATGCCAAGAAAATAGGCCTAAAAACAATATATTAAATATAAGGAAGGAAAGAGACTATATACTTGAACCAGGGCTGGTTAGATATATTATAATAATTATAAATGCTAAGCGTAAAATTAAGAAAAACATTGGGTGATAATTACTAGTTAGAAATTAATGTGATAGAGAATATCAAATCTCTATTAAGTGACATTTTTTAAAATTAAAATAATAAAATATTATTCTAATGTAGAAATACGATTATATAAAAAATAAATCTAAATAGTCATATTTAATATAATATATAGACACAGCTAAAGCATTGGCAGGGGAGGGGGTTCACCTAGCTTTAACTTCCGAAATTTATACCACTTGAAATACTTTGATCATCACCACCTTGTAAGATGCCTAATTCTTGTATTATATCATATACTTCATTAAATTCACTAGTAGTTAGATGCTCCTTGATTTGGGGACCCAATAAATATGGAGCATTGTGATCTAATCATATCGCTTTTCCTTTTTTTAAACATTTTTAATTTTAGAGTATTGGACGGTATTTGACCAGGTTAAATATTCCTCCAGTCAATTGATCCACTTGCTAACCCTATATAGTAATCAAAAAAATCATGTAAAGAATTTAAAACAACAAATATGTAACTATATAAAAAAACATATAAGAGGGAAGGGAGTGCAAAAAATGGCTCTCATTTAGACCCTAAAAAAATAAAATATTTGCCTCGGGACACGGCAATTAGTTGAATTATAAAATATTAAAAGATGATTCATGATAATCATTAATTCGAGAAATTTTTTTACCTAAAATATTGAAAAAATGATAGCCTAGGGTAGTGTTGTTAAACGGCTCGTTTTGAGCCGATTTTTAAAAACGGCTAACTCAATATTTCACCCAAAATAATATTACGCAAGCCTGAAGATTTTGCTTGTAGAATGAACAAAGGTTTGGGCATCTATCAACGAAATCTCAGGGCTTAGGCAACATTTTTCTGGCTAAAATATTGAGTTAGCCGTTTTTAAAAATCGGCTCAAAACGAGTCGTTTAACAACACTAGCCTAGGGTATCAATGGTAAAAATAATTATTGGGATAAGAGAAAATATAAAAAGTCATGATACTTTCTCATTTTTGACCTTTCGGGTAAAATAAACATTTACATTCTATATTTTAAAATAAATAAGAAAACCTTTTTTAAATGGAAAAGTAAAAAACGAAGGTACTTAAAACTTTAGGAGAAAAAGTTCCCCACGGTATAGGATATGCCTATGATTTAACAGGAGCTTGATATATAACAAATCCTTATAAAACAAGATTCCAAAGACCCTAAATATCAGTAAAATGGGGTTTCAAAAAACAAATTAATGGGTGAAAAACATTTTATACAATAGAGCTTACCTTTTGATTTTATTTTTTACAGAACTTAGTCCAAATTTCGTTTATTTTTCGGCTCGAGCTTTTTCAAAATAATTTTAATTGGGAGATATTATTAAAGAGAATATAACAGAAAATTATTTAATATTTTTTAAGTTTAGCTCGGCTTTTAGGGTCTGAACAAAGCTCTGGTTTGCAATGTTAAATCAAAAGCCTGGTTTTTCGTCCAGTGTAGCTTCCTTATCAAAAGGCTCTTATATTTACCTGTTTCTAACATTTTTGGAATCTGTCACAACGACAAGATTGTCATTGTGCATCAAAACCTAAATATAAAAATAGAAAACAAATATATATATAAAAAGGAAATTAATAATAATTAGGAATCACGAAATCATAAAATCAACTTTAATTCTTTATTCAAAATTATAATAGTAAACATCATAAAAAAAATAAAATAAAATTAAAAAATTAAAAGTAAATTTTAGTTAAAATAATAATCCCCTTTTCGCATCATAATTTCTCCATTATATATCCTTTTTCTTTAAGACGGGGATATTTTAATAAAACATTATTTTTGTTTACGATTTGCATAATGCATTTTTTTGTAAAGTAAAACTGCAACACCCTTCCACTTAAGTTAGACCCACCAATCTGCGAATAATCAATCTTCTTTCGATCTCGACTTATTCTTCTTAATTTTTGCTGTCTTCTAAGTTCTAACGAAGGCTTTGTCGCTTGAAATTTTTGAATTCTATCTGTCGCTTGTCACCCTGTGAAACGATCAGCTTTTTATCGCTGTAAGCCACTGACGAACTTGATACACGCCTGTTTTCCACTATCCACGATTGATAACGATTATCGATGACATCCAGTTTCCTTTCCTCTCTGGTTTTTTGCTAGTCTGTCTTAATCTTTTTTACAATTTATCGTAGCTTTCTTATCAAGACTAAAGTCTCGGAATAATTGGCTATTATTGGTCAGCGATTAACGATTGCAGCATAACGTCTTGACCCTCTTTTCTATCAATTTGCTTGTTTTCCCCCTTTCTCTTGTAATTGATTGGTTATTGCCTCTAATTCTTGTAATCGTATCTATCTTTCAGACTTTCGGGTCTTCTACGACAGTTTGTCCTTGCTGAGATATCGGGTTATCACATCTAATCTACTTCTACCTAAAATAATCTATTTACATATCTACATTTATCTCCTCTAAACTAATTCTGCCTTTAATAAATGGCGTAAATTATACTAAATCTTAAATTTTATAATACGTAGCAAAATATAATAAATTATATCACATTCTATCACCCCTCTCCCCTTAATGAAGCCTAGACCCATATTTTCATGAAAAATTTACTTGTATTTAGCTATTGATCTCATCTTCTTTTCAGCCATGTCTAAATTTAAATCTAAAAATCCTATTCTAAAATATATATCAAAACCTATCTTTTTTTTTTTACAAAAATTATCATTGTGTATTTATTTCCTCATGTACTCTTTGACACTCAGTCTTTAAAAAACTGCTGAAATATATAAATCTCTTTTCATACATACGTTGTTGAGAAATCAATGACCTAATCATAAAAATTTTCATACTTACGTTTATGAACAACCTCTTACTTCTAATCACTATGGTTTTCACCCCACGTCTTTGAAGAACTTATGAAATCTAATCATTATAATTTTTCGCACAACCGTTGTTGAAAACTGATATGTATATTTCTAAAGCATGTTTTTCCTTTTGTATTATTAGAATAATATTGTATGATTCTTCTTAAATCTTATTCATGATTCAAAATAAAAATCCGATCTCAAATTGAGCTCGATTGCGGCATAAATTTTCTAATGACGAAAAGCCGATTCTCTCTATGAAGATTTTTTGGTTAATCTACAACCTAATATACTAATTCACATTAATCCTTGAGGCTGTTTTATCTCTCGCAGCCCTTAAAATAAAAGTTAAACGTAAATCTTCAATAAGAATTTAATCAACTATTTCCTAACAATAAAGTTATATTCTAATCTTATTCACCGAATTTTTTAATTATTATATCTCAGCAACCTATTAGTTAAATATTAACTTTCGCAATTTATGTTTCTATTTCTTTGTCAAAGTTATTTCTAGTGATCACTTGATAATAATTCTAAAATCTAAAATATCATAGTCTTTATTAGTTTCAAAACCTTTGTCTTTAATTTTAGATTTTATATTCCTACATAAACATAATCTTAACCACATAATTTTTCCCTTTCATCTTTATTTACATATTTTTCTTACGTTCTTCTGGAATTTTTTTTTTTTTGTATTAGAATACAGTTTGACACATCTCCTTGTTGCCGGTCACAGACTGAAGGTTATTAAGGGCCGGTCTCCTCCGCTCTTCGGCACCACTGTCACAACGACAAGATTGTCATTGTGCATCAAAACCTAAATATAAAAATAGAAAACAAATATATATATAAAAAGGAAATTAATAATAATTAGGAATCACGAAATCATAAAATCAACTTTAATTCTTTATTCAAAATTATAATAGTAAACATCATAAAAAAAATAAAATAAAATTAAAAAATTAAAAGTAAATTTTAGTTAAAATAATAATCCCCTTTTCGCATCATAATTTCTCCATTATATATCCTTTTTCTTTAAGACGGGGATATTTTAATAAAACATTATTTTTGTTTACGATTTGCATAATGCATTTTTTTGTAAAGTAAAACTGCAACACTCAAAATTTTTAAATGGCACACAAATGTTTCGATATTTAGAATCTTAACAGTTAATTTCTTGCTTAGGACTAAATAGTCAGTCAGGCTCGTGGAGATGTGTGTTTATTTTAGCTAGGTTCTTAAATTATTTTGCCACTTTATGATATTGAAGAAGTATCAGAGACCTGCAGAGCAGAGACCTTCATGGGCCTTAATTTTTGACCAAGCCCGGCCCTGACCTGCAGCAAAAACTTTTTTTGGGCCAAAGCCCTGCCCGGCACATATCTAATGAAAAAAAATATCCAAGCCCGACCCAAACCCATAATAAGTTTCAAAAAAAATTTCCCAAGCTCATATTCAAAATTTTAATTTTTTTTATTTAATGAAAATAAACAATATTTATTTAGGCAATCATTTTGTTTACAATACTGAAATTTATTATTATTAGAAGAAAAGGCAATATTTCTTTAAATTAGCAACTGTTTTAAATAATCTAAATTTAATAATTTTAGGCCCAAGCCAGCCTAAGTCCATTAAATAAAATTTTTTTAATCCAGGCCCGGCCCATGCCCGCAAGAAAATATTATAATAGACCAATACCCGGTCCATTGGCAAGGGGCGGGCCGGCCCGGCCCATGAAGGTCTCTGCTGCAGAGGTACCATTTTTACGGCATTTTTTTTCAAAATTTTTTTCAGCCCGGACCGTATTTTATATTTTCAGGCCCTGCCCGGATCTTTTTCTAAAAAAATATTCATACCCGACCAGGATTTTTTTAAGATATATTATATTTATTTTTAATTTTTATATGTGCTAAATTCTAAGCTTTAGAATTTGTGAAGATCAGTCCGGCCCAAAAAAATATTTTTCACAAATCGTCTAGCCCGAAAATATTTTGATCTCCTAGAATTATTTCAATGTAGATACAATTTCTACTTCCAACATAAATGAAAACATTTTATCAATTAGGTTGAAAAATAATTTGAGTGTCATTAAACCAACATCCTATTTGCTACATTTAGCACGATAATCTTCGGGGCCCTTGTTATTATAAAAGACTTGAGAAATATCTCC